ATAGATGACATCACTGCAATGTTCGCAATTAAATTTTTACATATTAACTGAAACAAATATCCAGCCGCTAAAAGGCGGGAGCGGGCGCCGCGGGTCTGAACGCTAGCACTAGTTGAGTGTGAGAGCAGTATTGTCTTGTAGTTTCATCTCTGAGGTCATGGGTTCGAACACCACCCTTGAACCAATGGCCTTTCTGTGAGGAAACCAGCATGCCTTAGACACGACAGCGTCTAATCACCTACTTTTAGAACAAATAATCAAGGAAAAGATTTATTATATATGGCGCAGCTTTTCTTATCAAATGAAGCCACTTATGATCTTTAATCGTCTTCATTATAACAATAAAATATATAGTTATAATGAAAAATAAATATTTATTAAGTATTTCTCATTATCAAGTCTTAACAAAAGTATACATTTCTATTGAATACTTTTTTTGCGTTTCAATGTCGAATAGTAATTGTAAATTAGTTAGCTAGTTAATTTAGTTTTTATTTATGTGAAAACCTCTCGCAAAATCATTTCATTTAAAATAATTACATCATTTCTCAGTTACTAGATACAATAAAATACATTAATTATTCTATTATCTATATAATACTCCTTGTATCTGTGTGACTATGGCACATTTCTGTCTGCACTCCTTGTTATTTTCTATTGTCTAACTCTCTTACTTTTATCAAGGAAAAGATTTATTTTATATGGCGCAGCTGTTTTTATCAAAATGAAGCCACTTATCATCTTTAATCGTCTTCATTATAACAATTAAATATATAGTTATAATGAAAAATAAATATTTATTAAGTGTTACTCATTATCAAGCCTTAACAAAAGTATACATTTCTATTGAATACTTTTTCTGCGTTTCAATGTCGAATAGTAATTGTAAATTAGTTAGCTAGTTAATTTAGTTTTTATTTATGTGAAAACCTCTCGCAAAATCATTTCATTTAAAATAATTACACCATTTCCTAGTTATTAGATACAATAAAATACATTAATTATTCTATTATCTATATAATACTCCTTGTATCTGTGTGACTATGGCACATTTCTGTCTGCACTCCCTGTTATTTTCTATTGTGTAACTCTCTTACTTTTATTGTACCTTAGTCACGAGTTTAATAGATCGTTATACCATGTGCCCCGCCCTTTTCCGTTATTTTTATTTATTCCTTATTTAATCTAATCTTCCCTTCTATATTATGCGTTTAAAGGAATTATAACAATTAAATATTTCCAAAAGGCGACCCTGAGATTAATCCTGGCATTGGTTGATGTGCAAACCCTTTAAGGCTCATGGTAGAATCTTGGGTCTTGGGGTTCAAGTGCACAGGTGCTAATTACAGATTTAAATTGGTGCCTGGTAGATAGTACCGGTGACTCCAGAGCTGGTGCTTTCCTCGCTCAATGAATAAATATCGATTTGAATTGAATTAAAACAGCGAGGAAATGAAAGCCATGACCAACATTTTTAAATTTGTTTCAATTTTTATCAATTTTTGATTTTTATTACTATTAATTTCATTCTCATACAAATGCCTGGCGTTTGTATGGCTAGGCTAGGAAAATTCACGATTTCACCCGCTCGCACTTGTGACTAGTGCAACAAACGTATTCCTAATGTTTGCATGAGTCGGATGATACAGTGTTTCGCGGATAAAAATGAAGTAAATGTCAAATAATTTAAATAAATCTTAAAATACACCTTATTTAATAAAATTTGTAGTAACAGCTCTCGGCTAAACTAATGTGCTGTAATTCAATTATTTTTTGGCTCCATAATACGCGCCATGATTGAATTAAAACAAAATTAGGAAACAGTTAGTGGTGGCGTGGCGTTATTTTTTGTATCGGGAAATTTCTATTGTATTTTTTTGAAGTGAAACTTTCTTAGGCGTACGAGGGTAAATTTTTTACGGATGAAACGCAATAATAATAATATTAGCGTCACGAAGATGTGCAGCGTTTTTGTCGAAGAAAAGGGAGAGAGCGATTGAGACCGATTGAGAGAGAGTGAGAAGGGCGAATTACCTTATAGAAATTCTATTTTTAAAATTAAAATTTCGTACAGAGAATTTAGGAAATATTAGTATTTTATGTTTTGTACAAAATAATTAATTGAAATCAAAAATTATGAATTGTAAATTAAAATGCCACGTATTTTTAGTATCGAAGAAGTAAATAAAAATTTTTTTTTAATGACAATTAAATTTATTAAATTCCTAACATATCTTCCTTTTTCCTTCCCTCTAAGTCTCGGAAATCTAAAGTTTTAGATTTGTATAAATATGAACAAGACTTAAAAATTCTTTTATTTAGAGTCAACCATTGAAATGATAGTGAAGGATTAATTCATATTTATTGTTTTTAATTCAAGCATCACTTCGATAAAATCAAATCTGCGATGAGTTATTTTGGTGCCCGATCTTAAGCTATGATGGATAAGATTATACTGAAGTTATTTCTGATTACTGTTGACTTCTTATCAATCAATAAACTTTTGTTTATCACATTGTTTACGCACATGTTTCAAGAAAAGAGCGTACCGATATTTAAAGCTGGCAACGCACTCGCGAGCCCTCTGGAATGTAGTGTTCATGGCGCTCACGTAACAGGTGAGCGTCCGTTTGGCCCCTATAAAAAATAATAAATATAATGTAATATTCAAGTCAAGTCAAGTCAAAATCATTTATTCATATAGGTAACACAATGTACAGTTATGACCGTCAAAAATAAATATACATTAAATGCTTCTAATTTTACATTTAATGCCAGTTCTCAAATCAAGGGCGTAGAACGGAAGAGAAGAACTGGAAATTAACTTTTCGCCACTCATTTGTTTTACACAATGTTTATAAGGAGCTGCAACCATTACACCATGTTCCACATGACATCTTAAGTAATAGTTAATATTAGTTCTAGTTAGAGTTATTTTTATATCAAATAGCTTCCAATGATATTGCTTATTTAAAAACCAAAATTATTATATTAAAGTGAGTGATTACTGGTAGTAAATGTAAATTTACAATTAATTTAACTTCTTTTTTGACGTTCATAAGTGTACTTGTTTACCTATGTGAATAAAGATATTTTGAGTTTGAGTTTGATAAAAAATACTCTGTCATATACTATTATTTTTGCAATGTTTTTTGATTAACATAAGCATGTACGGTTAGCAGTTTTGTCACTCTTATCTCTCTTTTCGTACAAGAAGAGATTGCTTATAAACGGTATCCCACTTCTCTGTATTACTCTTTGCTCTCTTTTAGTACAGGAAGAGATTGCTTATAAACGGTAAGCCACTTCTCTGTATTACTCTTAGCTCTCTTTTAGTACAGGAAGAGATTGCTTATAAACGGTAAGCCACTTCTCTGTATTACTCTTAGCTCTCTTTTAGTACAGGAAGAGATTGCTTATAAGGCAGCCCGTTCCACTTATCCTTTAGATGACTATCGAACTATCTTTATAATTTTATTCTAAGCAAAGAAGTGTAAATATATAAATATTATAGCTAGTGCTCAGTCCCGCCTTGGAACGGCTGGATATTTATTTGAGTAAATATGTAACAATTAGACATTATAGTATCGCTTTTTTGTAATCATATCTTCTATAAAACTGAACTGGACACTCTCAATGCTAAAGGGCTCGCGAATGCGTTGCCGGCCTTTTATAAACCACCACCATTTACTGATAGCCAATTAAAATTATTAAATGATTTGGCTTTAACATTTTCTTCACTAAGTTTGTTGTATTTTATACTTTCACTTATTCGCATTTAGTGGTGAAGACGAAAAAAAGAATCTCTTTACCTGTGTTTTTTAAACCTATGTAATATTAATACTGATAACAAATGTAATTTTAATTATTTTTTAATGACTTGTGGTATTAGACATAATCTATGTTCTAGTTTTATAGTTTTATTATTTTCCACACTTCTATACAATAAAAATTCTCAATTTGGAAAATAAAGTCGGGTTTGTTCCAAAACTATCTCGAGAACCGCTGGGATTTTAATGGTTTTATGGTCTAAAAAATTGGGAAATTGACGAAAAAAATAAAAGAAATTAATAAATACAAAATGTTCATGGTTTCTCATAACTGATTAAACTCTTCCCTTAAACTAAAGTAAGTATTCTAATCTCTAAGAAAAGTCTATAAGGAAAATATATCTGCTTAAATATACAAAATATCAAGGCACATTGTTGAGTATTGCAATTCGGTGATAGTAGTGAATTTATTTATTTTAAATTAATTGTATTTCATAAAATCATAAATTAAACTCAGCTAATCCTTACCACGATGTTCATTGATTGTTAAGTGGCACGAACTTTGCCGGGTCGGTCATATTTGTGTTTGTTTTTTATACTTTGATGTCATCTATATGAAAAGATATGGACTTTTTATTTTTTTATTTTTGGCTCTGGCACGATTTGTGCATTAGCCAGCGTCAAGTATAGGATTTTTTATAATTCGTGCTTGTCTTTTAGAAATTCGACAGTGTCCTCTCTATGTACGGTTTAAGCACTCGCCCGGTACCGCACAACCCTCCCAAAGGCCGAGAACAAATTTAAATTAAATTAAAACTTGCCCTCGAACCGGGAATCGAACCCCTCACCTAAGATATGGACTTAAACATCTCCCGCCATAACGCTTAGTGTAGTCAATGACAATGAAATGTCAAATGCCATTCATGTCATCTGTCACTGTTATTGTCACTGTTACAAAGTAACAGATCGACTTCTAACACGAAGTTTCATATCTAAGTTTTTGATTTGAAACTGGCATAAAGATAAAATTATTGCCATAATATATTTAAAAAAAGAAGGTTTTCGATAGAAGTACTTAATTTTAAATTGTATTTTTATTACTAAATTAAAGTTAAGTCATAATAATTTTATAGCGCAAGTAATGTTCACTGAAATATAATTAATTAATTCTAATAATAATAGACTAAAGTACAAAGACAATTAAATAATACTATGATTAAGGACACCCAAATGGGGCATGGTACAGTGTGTTCGTATTTGTTACCATTTTGGGGTAATATTTAATATTGATACATAATTTGTTGTTTTAAAAGTTCGCCACAATTTCTACTCAGGACCTTGTTGTATACAAGTGACAAAGATGGCGTGTGTACCTTTTTAATAATATTAGTATTTTTATATACTAATTATAATAAATTAACAATTTCAGATGACTTACAACGCCACCTTGAAATGATAAAATGCAAAGCGATAGTATCATCTAAGCTATCGTATCCGAACATCGCAAAGGCCCTGAACTCTATGCAGAAGAAACTACCTGTTATACTAATAGACAACGATGAGCTACCAGAGACAACAATAAGATTCTCTGAGTTCGCCAATGACTTGAATGTTGACGTGGACTGTTTGAAAGCCGTGAAACGGAGTGCAAAAGATGTCGCCATTATGCCTTTCTCGAGCGGTACAACAGGATTTCCGAAAGCCGTTGTTTGCACTCACAAATCTGTTGTGGACTTTAACAAAGCCACACTAGATCCGAAAGTTATTTCTGTGGAGGAGGCTACAGGTAATTATTTATTTGGAGAATAGATAGTTATTTATTTTTTCAAGTAAAATGTAGGGAAACTTCACGCGAGAAAAAATAAAGACATCTAAAGGAAATAAAGGGATAAGCTAGTTAAAAACAAAGTATTATGTACATAAACATATTAAATCTTAATATTATTATTGATTATGAAAAAAGATGATACAGAATAGATAGTTCTAATTGCTAGCATAACACAAGTCCTGCCACAGACTTGATTTATATTATTAGATAACTTTGAAGGAATTAGAAAGTATGTGTGATATGTTGTTTTTTTTAAATGATAGCTAAATTAAATTTTTTATCACAATTATAGTATGTAATGTATTTACGATATTCTTACCTTAAATAATAATAACAAAAAGTATATATAGAAAACTAAATTAAATTAAAAATACTTCGTCTCTGTGGCAGTGTACCCTTTAATGCTGCCGGCATTTCCTCGCTGCACCAGTACCATAGTACCGGGGCTGGTGTTCACCACTGGTATCAGACTAACTTGTAGATAAGATAAATTAATATATTTTCAGTTAAAACCGCTAGTTATTCGATTATATAACATTTATTAAAAAAAAACTGTTTCCTGTAAACATGGGCTAAATTAACGTTTTAATAAAGATTAACATTATTTAAATTTGGAATGTGGATAAGGTATATGTAATCATCAAAGAGGTCGTTAACAAATATTTTATGAAAATGTTACTGGCTATCTATAAACAACGGACTAATAAAAAAAAACAAAAAACGCGCGAAAATTTTGTTACATCAAAACAAAAAACTGTTATATTTGAAGTGAAACTTCTTTATCGACGTATGGGAGAAATTTTGTAGCAGTGTAAAAAATCATCACGTTTTTCAGTTACGCGCCATGTTGCTTTTTTTATACTAACTACAAATTGCTTGATCGATCGCAGGTTGAATCCGATATTTTATTGAATAAAATATAGGCGGCAAATCTCGCAAGAAAACCTTGAAATTAGTCGGATTTCTTCAAGTAAATGCAATTAATGGAATTCTGTAATAATCTTAGTAGTAATAAGATAAAATGTTATAATTGCATTATTTGAATTCATGTCTATGATAATAAAAGCATTTTGTTAAACTTTATCTAATTTAACTTTATTTAACCAATTTCAAAACCAACCAATTGCATATAGTAGATCATTTTTCGAAAAATAAGGTCATAAAGAAGTTTCACTTCTTACGTATGTACACTAGTACACGCACAATTTTTTATTTATCATAAATCCACGAGTGTCCACATCAGAAGCACAATATTTAACTCGACTGACATACATTTTGGATTCAAAACTTTTTATAAACAAATAGGCCAGTCATTATAGACATTCGAAATCGAAAATTTGATAATACATAATTCCAAAAGTTTTCAAACTTCGGTCAAGTGAATGGTACATTGGGATGACAATAAATCTCATTTTGCAACCTTGTCCGCAGTCCGGAACATTGTTAAAATTGCAATTAAATTAATTTTTGCTGTATGGTCGTGAAAAAAATTCCAAAAGTTCTGCAAACTTGGGGAAGTTTTCAATATAATATTTCATATCACGTATAAAATTTGCAACCAACCTAAGTGTACGGAACATTTTTTGTTATTTATTTTATTTTCGATATATCTGTCAAATTTGCAGAACTTTTGGAACGTTTTCCTTCAGTTTAATAAAGAAAAACATTAATTTTTAATGCCTGCCGGCATTTCCTCGCTGCACCAGTACCATAGTACCGGGGCTGGTGTTCACCACTGGTATCAGACTAACTTGTAGATAAGATAAATTAATATATTTTCAGTTAAAACCGCTAGTTATTCGATTATATAACATTTATTAAAAAAAAACTGTTTCCTGTAAACATGGGCTAAATTAACGTTTTAATAAAGATTAACATTATTTAAATTTGGAATGTGGATAAGGTATGTGTAATCATCAAAGAGGTCGTTAACAAATATTTTATGAAAATGTTACTGGCTATCTATAAACAACGGACTAATAAAAAAAAACAAAAAACGCGCGAAAATTTTGTTACATCAAAACAAAAAACTGTTATATTTGAAGTGAAACTTCTTTATCGACGTATGGGAGAAATTTTGTAGCAGTGTAAAAAATCATCACGTTTTTCAGTTACGCGCCATGTTGCTTTTTTTATACTAACTACAAATTGCTTGATCGATCGCAGGTTGAATCCGATATTTTATTGAATAAAATATAGGCGGCAAATCTCGCAAGAAAACCTTGAAATTAGTCGGATTTCTTCAAGTAAATGCAATTAATGGAATTCTGTAATAATCTTAGTAGTAATAAGATAAAATGTTATAATTGCATTATTTGAATTCATGTCTATGATAATAAAAGCATTTTGTTAAACTTTATCTAATTTAACTTTATTTAACCAATTTCAAAACCAACCAATTGCATATAGTAGATCATTTTTCGAAAAATAAGGTCATAAAGAAGTTTCACTTCTTACGTATGTACACTAGTACACGCACAATTTTTTATTTATCATAAATCCACGAGTGTCCACATCAGAAGCACAATATTTAACTCGACTGACATACATTTTGGATTCAAAACTTTTTATAAACAAATAGGCCAGTCATTATAGACATTCGAAATCGAAAATTTGATAATACATAATTCCAAAAGTTTTCAAACTTCGGTCAAGTGAATGGTACATTGGGATGACAATAAATCTCATTTTGCAACCTTGTCCGCAGTCCGGAACATTGTTAAAATTGCAATTAAATTAATTTTTGCTGTATGGTCGTGAAAAAAATTCCAAAAGTTCTGCAAACTTGGGGAAGTTTTCAATATAATATTTCATATCACGTATAAAATTTGCAACCAACCTAAGTGTACGGAACATTTTTTGTTATTTATTTTATTTTCGATATATCTGTCAAATTTGCAGAACTTTTGGAACGTTTTCCTTCAGTTTAATAAAGAAAAACATTAATTTTTAATAACAAAAAATGTTCCGTACACTTAGGTTGGTTGCAAATTTTATACGTGATATGAAATATTATATGGAAAACTTCCCCAAGTTTGCAGAACTTTTGGAATTTTTTTCACGACCAAAACTTATTTTTAACAATGTTCCGGACCGCAGAGCAGGTTGCAAAATTTTATAGTTTGTTTTAATACCACTCCCGACCTTACATCAAAATTTGAAAACTTTTGGAATTATTATGAATTAATTGTCTTGACTGACTGGTCTAAAAGTAATACATAAAATATTAAGCTATTTGTTTAATGTTTAACTTCCGTTTTCTTTTTTTTATATATTAATGAACTTAATCGACTTATGTTTTCTGTTTCAAATATTTTGTTTATCAATGTAATCTGTTTTGGCTTTGTATATTGTCTAACGCCCGAACCCCATAACCTATCTCAATCTATAATCCATCATCTGAGATAGTAATCTTAATCCAAATGTTATAACAAGTGTGCCAATAACCAATCGACGGATTGTAATAGCCATCTGTCGATACAACCTATCCATGGTCGTATCGGTGTCTGTGGATAGACCTTTGTATGAAAATGACAGTTGACGAAAGCTCGATTTCAACAGTTATTTTTTTAACTTAGGTACACCAGTTTTTTAAATATGTAATTAAAAAAAACTGTTTGTTATGTTTTAAACATACACACGTATATTTGAATGTTTACGGCTTTAATAACTTTTTGTGGTTTACATTGACTATCAAATATGAGTGAAAACTCGGTAAAATGAAACGACAAAGAGCATTTTATCCGTCGCCACAACTGGATTGTCTATGTAGGGTTATTGGGATGCAGATAGGAGATCGATCGACTGTCACGGTCTGATCTCAGATTGTTTTTAATCTGAGATTGTGGATTCATTATTGGGTTCGGGCGTAAGTGTTTTCTTTTATAATATGGATATGTGTAGCTCTAAGATCACCTATAAATAAAACTATTAAGTATCCAAATTGAATTCTATAAGTGGGTTCCAGAATTGCATTACACCTAAACTTATTAATTTCAGCGAATTATCAATCAGTGATGCCGGGAGTGTTGCCATTTTTTCACATATTTGGCTTTAACGTGCTTATGATGAACTTGATGTGTGTGGGTGTTAAACTGGTAACAATAAGTCAGTTCAAGCCTGAAGTGTTTCTGGAGACCCTCGTCCGACATAGGACTCAACATATGTACGCTGTTCCACCTATGAGTAAGTTTTTTAAGGCCTATTAGTCCGACAAATATAGTATTTAGATCAAAGTCAATTTCCTAGCTGTTTGATCAACTGGCTGAACATCTGTCAGGCCGCTAGTTAAAAGGCTAGGCTGTTAATTGAACGGCTAATTAAGTTGGTTCCACATGACGGCTCATTGGTCTAGTGGTTAGTACCCCTGACTGCGAAACCAGGGGTCCCAGGTTCGATCCCCGGCTGAGACGGACATCGATGTAATGAGCATTTGGTTTTGTGCTTAGGTCTTGGGTGTTTAAATATGTATTTATATGTTTATCTACCTATATGTATGTATATCCGTTGACTAGTACCCATAACACAAGCTTCACCAGCTTAACATGGGACTAGGTCAATTGGTGTGAATTGTCCAAAAAAAAACATATATACAGTCAAAACTGAGTAATGCCCGAGTTACACGAGGCTAGTTTTTCAAGCTAAGATAGCAAGCTAGTACTTCTGGCTTCATGTAGACAAATCTAGCATCATTTCTGAGCTAGTAAGCTAGTTTACAAGCCAGGATAGTTTTTAATAGGATGGAGGTCTATTTTTTAGAATAGTAGCGCCCCCCACCACTGATTTTACTAAGATCGTTTTCAGTTGGCTAGTAAGCAGGAACCACGCGATTTGTTTCTTTTTGTCACCGCGACGTGTTTTTGAGATTTTAAGATGCCAAAACTAAGTATGGATATTAATTTACTCTTTAATTTACTTAACGTTGTGCATTTTTGATAATTTGGAATGGTTAGAGAATAATTTTGCACGAATTGCTTTAATTATCAGTTTAAAAGTACTATCATGTATGTAGTAGAATACAATATTTATTTATTGCGCTATCGTACACAAACATGACAATTTATATTACATTAAATACGCCGCGCCAGCTGTCTACTCTCCATCCGTCTTACGAATTTTCGATCAGGTCACGTGTCCTGACGCGAGTTATTCGCGTCAGTCTGACCAAATCGTTAATAATAAAGCTTTAGACGTTTCGCAAAATTAAACCTTGATGACTTCAGGTCCAATTCCACATGCATCAATGTATCTGAGGAAAGAGACAAATGAATTAAAACCGTAACTATATAGCACGAAGGTTCATAATCCTTTAAAAAAACATTCGTCTTACGAATTCGTCCTGACGCGAGTTTAACATTTTTTACCCATTCCAAAAAAGTGTACAACGACGCTAAAGAAGTTTTCACTTCAAAAACCGTGCAGTCCGTCATGTCAAATGTCAAAATATACAGTTCAATTATTCGAAACGTCATACCACGTCAGTATGTCAAAACTTGTAATCTATGATCTATGATTTTCTAGAGATGGAAAAAGACTTTTAAACTGAACCCGATGTCAGAGTAAAAGTTATTACTTATTACCATTTACAGATATTATTAACACAACTAAATCTCACTTTGCTAATCTTTGTTTTTAACGTTAATTAATGTTGGGTATATCCAATAAAAATAAAAGTTTCATTAAAATTATTTCAGTAGTCTAAGATATGAGGTGACTTAATGTTGACAGGTATTTGGAGCAGTATCTTATTTAAACCTTAAACATGTTTCAGTAATATTTCTGGCAAAACATCCGGCAGTGACGGCCGCCCATCTCCAATCGCTCAAAGGCATCGTGTGTGGAGCGGCCTCTTTAGCCGAAAGCGACGTTGAAGCTCTTCTAAAGAAGAACGTAAGCCTTTTTTGTAAATATAGAAAGATATAAAACTTATCTAATCGTAAATATAAACCATTAATTTAACCCACAAAAATATCATCAAATCGTGATAGGTGCTAATATGAATGAAAAAATGTTACAAGAAAATCTATTTTGACGTTATTCAAAGTTCTATAACAATATCATGAATGACGGTAGTCCTTAAAACTTCTAGAAAAGTCTGCTACTCCATATATACCTTCTAACTTCTTTTTTTTCCGCGCGGAAATGCGTTACGCATACCCTCCCGCGGCACGGTTGACCTGGTGGGGAAGGGTTATGTGGGACTCGCTGTTGTGCATACCCACTAAAACCCCACGGCGCCACCAGCAATCGCCCGGGGCATGATACGGTAACAGCGTAGCCTTGTCCGCATCCAGCCACGCCTTATAACTTCTAAGTCAACCACTTAGCTAATTTTTTGTAAAAAAAAAAAAATCCAAAGCTGTTTAAACATACAAAACTCAACAGTTGGCCATACTATCTTTGGCCCGTATTCGGAACGTTAAAATGTATCTAAGTTCAGCGGCAGTATAGACCTTATTGCTTAATTTAAACAAAGCGTTAGACATCCACATTTTAACTGTACTTACTCCGCTGGATCTCTATATCTAATTCTAAAGTTACTATAAATTGCAAGATTCCCCTAAGAAGTATTTGGAATTCGACGTATTCCGTCCTCCCCATATAATATTACTGTATGCGTTCGCTAAAATCAGGGAATTTCGTCAACAGAGGAACATCAGATTCCGTCAAGGCTACGGTCTGACTGAGACCAATGGTGGCATAGTAATTGGACGCAATGATGACTCTAATTATGCCTCTGTTGGACATCCACTTGGGAGCTGCCAGATTAAAATTACTGATCTCAAAACCCAGGAGGCGCTTGGGCCAGGACAGGTGAGAAATAAAATATTTCTGCATATCTGTAACGTATTTATCTTCAAAATTAAAAAGAAATGGAATGGAGGCCGCCTAATAATCACACTTTAAATTATTTGGAATTAATTCAACCATAGATTATCGTAAACAGGAAATAAATAACTTAAATTTCTGGAAAAAAACAGATGCCTATAAATCATTAAGAATAATATAAATGTTTACAACTGGCAACCCTAATGTTGCGGTTGACTTAGAGCTGGCAACCATTTTTTTTGGCAATCCAATGCATACTCTCTTAACATTTATTTAAAATTTGTTAGCTGCAGAATCGAGCGGTGGGATTTTAGTCTACCTACCATTGGCGCTACAATCATTTTCAAAATTCAAAATTCATTACTAATAAATAGTAAAGAAATACATATTAATGCTTCTAATTTTACATTTAGTGCCAGTTCTCAAATCAAGGGCGTAGAACGGAAGAGAAGAACTGGCAATAAACTCTCCGCCACTCTTTTTTTATTTACACAACGTTTGTAAGGTGCTGCAACCATTAAATCATGTTCCACATGACATCTTAAGTAATTAATAATAATAACATAAATTAAAAACAAAGAGACTCTATCAGCAGGAGGCATGGTGAAATAGGAGCACGCACTTACATTCTCGTGGGAACAACACGCAAGGTCTGGGCCTCAGATTTCTGTATCTGTTTCATGATCATTTGTCTACCAAATAGGCAAGTAGGTAGCTTCCTGTGCCTGACAAATGCCGTCGACTTTTCGGGTCTAACGGTTTCCTCACGATTTTCCTTCACCGTTCGAGCGAATGTTACTATTTAACAGGTCCGTTTGAATGACTGACGCACTCTAAGGCCACTAGGTAAACTAATTTAATGATATTTTTTGACCTACCTAGAGTAAAAAAGCTACCTACTTGAAAAGGAAAAATTTGTTTAGCAGTCATTAGTATTGGTACACATACAATGTACACTGACGGACTCATAAACTGCATCGAAGTAAAAAACGAACCAAGTATGCAAACTTTCTACACAGATTTAAATTGAAAGGTCTAGATTGGTTCGTTAACTTTAAAACAGCGTAGGGTCATCCTTAAGTTTAAGTTTGTGTACTGGAAAGGACCTTAAAACTTTTCTGCAGAAAAACAGAAATTTAAAGAAAATTGGTTTTGATTATGCGGTTTTTTATAATTAATCAATCTGAATGTATCACTTTCTTTTCAAATAAACGATGTATGTTATTATTATTAAAGACACTTTAACTGTGCGTAGACGTTTACCAGGCGAGACGCAAATCGTATATATAGAAATAATCACGTGACCAAGCGACTACAATCACCATACGATTGAGAGCCACTAAAGCTTAACGAATTTGTATGGGAATGATATTTGTCACGTGACTATTTTCATATAAATTCATTAGTGCGTCACGCCTGTAGAAAGGAGATTTTGTCTAATTCCATTCTTTTAACTATTGAACTGTTTCATCTTTTTCTGTCAAATTGTGTTTAGACTTTGATGAAAAAAGACAGAAGACTACTTTAAGACTGACGACTGATTTTTCTTGGATCGTAAATGTTTATTATAAATATTATCTCTAGGAAGGTGAGATTTTGATCCGTGGCCCGCTGCTCATGAGCGGGTACTATGAGAACGAAGAAGCTAATAAGGAAGTGTTTACATCAGATGGCTGGTTAAAAACCGGTGATGTCGGCAAATACGACGAGAATAAATATTTGTATATCACCGATCGGTTAAAAGAACTTATTAAGGTAAGATTAATTTAAATATCGAAAATTTTTTTCTTTATCTATAATTTTTGTTACGACACGTAGTTTTCCTTCTATAATTCACATTAATCTATGGTATAAATAAGAATGAGGGCTCGATTTTCAAAATATTTAGACATTTAATTTTTTTTATATTATCTAAATCCGACTTAATGTAAATCGGAAATCGAGTCGAATTTAGGTTATTATAAGTTAATTTCCGATTGAGTTCTTTATTCGATCGAAACGTTTTATTCTGTCAAACCTTTAATAGACCATTATCTAGTTTTTTTTATAAGTTGCTTTTTATTAGTTTATTTCGACCGCTGTACTATTTAAGAGATTTTAATACTCGCTTCGATCGATTGCTCAGGAAATGAAACGTTATATATATACAGTCAAACCTGGATAAGCGAGAGTTCAAGGGAGCACAATCTCATTCTCGCTTATAGAGGTTTCTCGCTAACCCGAATTTCTCGCTAATGCAGGTACATGGGTAGCGTTTCTCTCTTATTAGGGTACGCAGCAATAACAAGTCACAGCAAGTACCAATGTAGTAAATATGTAATATGATAAAATTATGTGCATAATGTGCACAACATTATTATGTACATATATATTTTATTTTGAACTTATTTACACTTTAAAAAATCCTGAATGAATGAAAATGTCAAATTTGTAATTTGTAGCAGTCTCACTTACGGAGGTCCATGAGGGAAAAACGACTCTCTTTTACAGAGGTTTCTGATTCTCGATAATAGAGGTTTTGGGAGCTTAAAATGACGGGTCCCGGCTATTACTCTCACTTATAGAGTTTTCTCACTTATCCAGGTCTCACTTACCCAGGTTTGACTGTATATACTTTTTTGATATCAACAATTATTTTTCGAGTTGATTTTTTTTTCCGCTGCCCGTTGCTTAATACGAGTCATGCCTTTCAAGTTTTATCGTTTGAAAAAAAAACACTACTAGTACCTTATAGTACTTTTTATTGTTTTGTCGAAGTATTCACCACTTCATACACTTTTCCATTTGCTCAAACCAGTTATTATAACATTTATTCCACTCTAAAGTGGGGGTGTTCAAAATGGCTGACTTGAAAGCGTCGACTGCTTCTTCCCCGGACCAGAACCTTTGACCACGAAGACTTTTCTTAATTTTAGCAAATGTAAAGAAATCGTTAGGGCTTAGGTCAGGACTGTATGGAGGATGGTCAAGAATTTCTACTTTTTCCTGCTTCAAATACTCAATTGTTTGACGAGCGCTGTGTGAGATTGCGTTGTCGTGGTACAGGATGATGCGTCGCTTTTTTTTACAACGGTATTCCTACAGCTAATTAAACAATATTCTAACAATTACACTGTACACAAAGGCCAAAAACGGAATACACATTTAAACATACACAAAGCACAGTTACACCTATACAAATACTTTGAGTTAGATTTTCGAAGTTTGGCGATGACTTGTGGTAAACAATCTGTGGTATACCACTCTGCGTTAACCGTTCCACGATCTTCAAGTGCAATAGTCGCACATGTCCGGTTTTTCCAACGAACGTGGCCATGCAAAGCACTTTGAAGTGCTTTGACAACGAACAACTTTAGTCGGCTCTGGCTTGTCTTGAAAGACCCTGATTGTAGATTGTTTTTAGAATCAGGATCGTAGGAATAGATCCAAGATCCGTCACCACTGATGATGTCGTAGACGTGATTTGACTCTCTTCGGTTGATGCTTTGCAGAGTTTTCTTACACCATCTGATGCACCAACATTTTCCTTAGAATTATCAATTTTCGTACGTAACCTGACAGATTCCAATCGACGCTGTGACTAAACAATAGCATTAATCCTACTACTTTCAATTGTTTTGAGATTCAAAATTTAAACGTTCGAATATAGAACAGAAAATTCAAAATTGCCGGGAAATAAGGAAACGACAGAACTTAAAAGGCATGCCTAGTTAATGTAACCTGTATTTCTATGTATGTATAAATATATCAAAGGAATTTAATTGATTCAATTTTTCAACATTCATTAAGTTATTATTATCATTTAAAATTGCAGCGTTCTATAGATGTCTGTGTTAACATTCTCCTCTTTAAATCCTTTTTTGCTCTACTACCTTAAGTAATAATTAAGTCTTAATTAAACATTTCAATACAAAAAAAATATTTCAGGTGAAAGGATTCCAAGTACCGCCAGCAGAGTTGGAGACCATTCTCCGTACTCACCCTAAAGTCCTCGACTGCGCTATCGTAGGTATTAAGGACCCGATTAGCGGTGAGGCGCCTAAGGCCTTCGTAGTGCCACACGCCAAACAGTCCATTGACCCGAAGGAATTATTAGAATACGTGAACACCCAAGTAGTGGCGTTTAAAAAAATTAAAGAGGTTCAATTTGTGACTGAGATACCTAAAAACCCCGCTGGTAAGGTTTTAAGACGCATTATCAAGGAAAAGTATTGTTAATATAAGTATTCCACAAAGTGTACCATGGAGAGTGTTCTGAAGGGATTGGGTTGATCCCTCCTCTTCATCACTTCTTTATCACCATACGAGCCGTATTAACTCATTTCATTCGCATCACCTTGATGGCGTCATCCACGTGTCACAAGCACTAGCGAACCAATTGTTTAAAGCGACTATTATAGTACAGGGGCAAACATCAGGAAGCTCATCTGATGTTAAGTGATACGTCAATAGATACTCTAGGCCAGTGCGTTGCCGGCCTTTTAAGAATTGACTCTTGAAGGACCCTAAGGCGTATTGGTAGCCTTTCAGCTGAATAATATGGACTATTTGTTAGTCGTTTGAAATAAGTATTTTATACAGTTAATTTCAATATTTTTAATCGGTTGCAAAAATGAAAGATATTGAATGAGCTTATTAATTATGATTATCCGAAAAAAATATGGGAATTTTTAAATAATTTGATTTCGATAAATAAATCATGTAAATAAACTGTTAAATATAATTCTATAATAATACACTGTATAGGTGATATAATTTTGATATCTGTTTTGTGTGTGTAAGTTTTTATTGATTTATAAGCTTTCGTTTCACAAAGCGTCTGAGCCACACAAAAAGTGATAATGCTTGCATTTCCTCGCTGTATTGCGATACTTATTGGTTTAGCTAGGAAAGCACCAGCGCTTAAATATCGCTTGAACCCCACGCCCCAAGAGGGAACAAAATCAAAGTTGGAGGAAAGACTCTTATATATGTGCCGTTTATTATTAAATATGTTGTTATTATTATTATTGTATTTGTTATCGAAAATCGTATTTATAAATCCCAAAATCGGAGTTTTTAAAGTTTCAATTTATTGATCTGTGGAGTAAATTTTTAGATTATGATAGATAATTTTATGTCAAAGACAAAATTGTAACAAGAATTCTAAAACTTATAAAATAATGCCTAGTCTAAGATAAACTAAGTAGTGGTGCTTTAATTAAGAATTTGTATGTTTTTATTTTTGTAAAGGAAAATATATTCTTGACTATTCGTTTGTTTTTCTCTTACGTCCTTATTTTCAGGAAATATATAGAATTTACACGAAGAAATCTTTATAACATATACACTTTATAACATATAGAGTACGATTAGAGTCGAACCTACGAACTAAGGGATGAGACTCAAAATGTACTGGGAGTTTTCTGTGATTTGTCCAAGGCGTTTGATTGTGTTGATCATGAGACTCTGCTTTGCAAACTTGACCACTATGGTATACAAAATGTAGCTCTTAGTTTAATAACCTCTTACCTAAGTTGTCGACCTAAAGTTGATATAAATGGAATTAAATCTTCGGGATCACATATTAAAATGGGAGTCCCGCAAGGATCAATTTTGGGACGATTTTTATTTCATATATATATTAACAATTTGCCTTCTTATGCAAAGCCATTATGTGATATTGTATTGTTTGCTGATGACACGTCCTTGATTTTAAAAGTAAATATATATAAGACAAATTTTGACTCTTTCTTTTTCTGAATCTTTATATTTATTTTTTGAAGTTATACTTCTTTAGGCGCGTTATGAAAAATTGATGAGAGTGAAATTTTACGGTGCGCGCGCACCGTGACACAAAATTAACAGAATGACAGTTGCCCACTAACGAATTCTTTTTAAACCAGCCGTGCGCCACCGAGCGAGATGGGAATAAGACAATCTACAAGTAAAAAGAAATAGAATATGCGTGAATTACCATAATGACCTTTGTAGTACCTTTTAAACAAATAAAGGAGTTTTAATTATTTAAATTATAAACTGGCTATTTATTGTTCATGGTTGAAAATTTTAACTACATATATATCAATAAAAAAAAAAAACAATTACAATCAAGAGATAATTGTTTCTGCATGCTTACCGTTATTACTCAGTAGGACTCAGATGGGTGGAGGTGTGTCGTTACTAGACTCCTGTACAAATTTTTCGTAAACCACTTCACAAAAGAGAAAGACAAGTCTTTTAAAAAATTGTCTCTAATTTTATTTTAAAAATATATAAAAAACTTAGTGCCTTATGGCTTCAATATTAAGACGTGCTTTAAGCCAAGCAATAAAAAAAAGAAATGTGTATAAAACTTCTTTTTTACAAATCAGCACAGATTCAAAAATATTAACATCAGTTTTTAAGGATTTAGAAGATTCAAATCATACAATTAATGAATTTGTGTGGCAAAACTTGGACAGATGGCCAGACAAAACTTTAACAGTAAGTATTATACAATTAATTATTAAACTGTTTAGTACTTTATATTTTTTAATTAAGGGTTGGATTTATTATTACGTTGCCCGAATTTGATAATACTGATTATGTAGGTGTCTCGGGGGATCTTGATTGGAACACCTCCAAGTGATTTTGCTACCGGTCTTTAGGTATTAAAAAAATTGATTTAAAATTTTGTGTAATGTATTGAAATTCGTAAACAAACCGTACATTTTCTACTTTTCTATTGGTGATTAGAGATGTGACATTCTCAGCATTGATTCTGCATTCTGATTTATATGTCTATATATTTGTTGCTTCATAGTATTATATGTAAAGTTACGACAGCATATATAGCATATTTTCTAGTCCGTGATCTGACAATTTAATTTGCTGTGAAGTAGTGATGTAAATTCTTCATAAAAACCAATTCTTTTCTTTTCTTTCCCAATTTTTCAGTTTTGATATTGAATTAGCTTGTGGTAAGAGTGGAAAACAAAGTCTTGGTTTATTTTCTTTGTGGTTTGTTCTAAAAAGATAACATCGTTGTTGACATTATTGTATGTAACAAACAAGTTTTTAAAACCTGATCAATTGTAAAATTAAAAATATACCATTTTCCTGTTGAATTGTTCATATTAATTATAAGGTGCAACCATTTTTGTTGTTGCGTTTTGCTAATTTTACCATTACTTTAACCGATTTAAGCTTCACTATATTTTGTTATGTTTTTAGAAATTGGTAATTTGATGATTTAATTAACATTTCTTTGCATATAGAAGGAGGTGCTGGTTGGTCAAATTCGAAATTCTAGACTAAAAACTACCAAATTTACATGTCAACATATTCCGATATAACGTTTATACCAAACAAAATCTTTTTATATTTATATATAGTAGGTTATATATTTGTTTTTGATATATAAGGGGATAATCTATGGATCTACTTAGTGAAAGAATATTTCTAACTTTTAAATTGTATATAGTACGAGATCCGGCTGCAGGAATAGTGCCTTCATCTGTTATTTGCTAAAAAACAAATTTTTATGTATATTTATAATTAGGAGAATATATATATCTACCAAGTAGCATTTCAAAATTCGTTCACTTGTTTTTTAAATAAAATACCGTCTACATCATGGCAGTTTACATAAATATTTTTTAAAAAACACGGTTGCCGTTGCGCAAGTAGGATTTCGATACATTTATACGTATATAACGTAAATTTACTCATTATCCATCAAATTTAAGCTATTTTTTCCGTTGTCTTGTTCGTTTAGTTGCCTAATTAAATCTGACCGCAAATAAGGGTTACTAGCTGTTAAAGATGATAAATATTTAAGGTAGAGTGAAAGAGACCTAACGCGTAACATCATTAACAAGGAAATATATATATTGTTTTTTTTCATCTCATCGTACTAACAATTACAATAATGAACCATTAAACTAAAATAATACGCTGAGAAAAAAAATCTCATGTCAAATAGATAGCCTAACACTTAGAAATATGAAGAAAAAGTTACTTCTAAGTTTTTGTACTTGGGACCCTGAATTTAATAGGTTTATTTACTAGAATATGCTTCTGATAATTCGGAAAAATATTCATTTCTTCAGCTGTATATTCCTCGATAAATGGAAAAATTAATAATAAAATATCCTCTTTTTTATTATGAATTCATTAATATTTTCAGGAGTGTGCAACTACAGGCCACGGATATACATACGCACAAACACATCGTATGTCGATAAACTTTGCTGCGTCGCTCCGGACGAAATTAAAGTTGAGGAATGACGACACAGTCGCCATAATACTACCGAATGTTCCAGAATATCCCTGTATTTCACTGGGAATATTGGAAGCTGGGTGTATAATCAGTATGATGAATCCTGCGTACAGCACTCGTGAGTTTTTTAAAACTTTTATCCGTAAATCAGAAATTATATATTAATAGCGGATCCGGCGAACTTCGTTCCGCGTTAACTTTAGTTAAACTTAATTTAGGATTTTATTAAGGTAATAACATTAATACAACTTTTTTTGCAAATACAGAAATGTTCTATTGGTTGCCATTGCGAAAAAGAATGGCAGTTTTACATATTAGGCCCCTTCTCTCTAGCGCCAATTACTTATTATATATGTATAATATTACTTATTATACTGCAAGTTAAAGCACTTTCTGATATACGAGTAAATAAAGATTTCGAATCGACAATATATCCATATTGGTATGCTAGCAACAAAAAAGGATTGATATGTATTGGTTTTCAAATATTTATGCGTGCGTTCAGAAATTTATTCTAATCTCTAAGAAAAGTCTATAAGGAAGATATATCTGCTTAAATATACAAAATATCAAGGCACATTGTTGAGTATTGCAATTCGGTGATAGTAGTGAATTTATTTATTTTAAATTCATTGTATTACTATCATAAAAGCATAAATTAAATTCAGCTAATCTTTACCACGATGTTCTTTGCCTGTTAGGTAGTACGAAGTTTGCCGGGTCAGTCATATTTGTGTTTGTTTTTTGTATTTTGATGCCATCTATATAAGATATAGACTAAAACATCTCCCGCCATAACATAGTGTAGTTCATGACAATGAAATGTCAAATGCCATTCATGTCAGCTGTCACTGTTACAAAGTAAAAGATCGACTTCTAACACCAAGTTTTATATATATCCAAATTTTTTTGATAGAAGTACATACTTAATTTTAAATTGTGTTTTTATTACTAAATTCATAAAATTAAAGTCATAATAAAATTTATGAATAATAATTTTATAGCACAAGTAATGTTCACGGAAACATTATCTAATAATAATAAATAATAAAATACATAAAAATGGTTCTATAACTTTCTTCTTTGTCTTTTAGTTTCAGAGATAATTGAATAAAAAAAAACTTGTAGTAGAGAAACATAAGCAAATTTTGATACAGCATTCGTAAAAACGTTTTCGTTTTTCACCGCAAATCCGACTACCGCCAAACAAAGTTCATTCGGCTTAAAATATTATAGCATATGACACAAATAACGTGGTTTTTTATCGGTTACAGAATTTTCAAAATCGGTTACCCCCGAAAACCGCACAAAGTTTAAAAATATATCAATGGTATGGGGTAATAGGTCTGGGCATCTGATTTCTGTATCTGTTTCACGATCACTTGTCAATCTAATAGGCCACGTCAGGTCACACGCCGTCGTGTTTTTGGGTCGCAAGCCGTTTTTCTCGCGATGTATTCCTGCACCGTTCGAACGAATGTTAAATGCGCACACAGAAAGAAAGTCCATTGGTGCACAACCGATCGAACCTACGACCTCAGGGATGAGAGTCGCACGCTGAAGCCATAAGCCAACACTGCTCTTTATAATATTAGTATTGTTACACACTAACTATAATGAATTAACAATTTCAGATGACTTACAACGCTATCTGGAAATGATAAAATGCAAAGCGATTGTATCATCAAAGCTATCGTATCCGAACATCGCAGAGGCCCTGAACTCTATGCAGAAGAAACTACCTATTATACTCATAGACAACGATGAGCTACCAGGGACAACAATAAGATTCTCAGAGTTCGCCAATGACTTGAATGTTGACGTGGACTGTTTGAAAGCCGTGAAACGGAGTGCAAAAGATGTCGCCTTAATGCCTTTCTCGAGTGGTACAACAGGTTTTCCGAAAGCCGTTGTTTGCACTCACAAATCTGTTGTGGACTTAAACAAAGCCATACTAGATCCGAATGTTATTTATGTGGAGGAGGCTACAGGTAAATATCATGCAGGACAACGTCTGTCGTGTCCGCTAGTGTCTTATAATACATAGTTGTAACACTAAAATTACTTTTTTTTAAAAACTGTTTTCAACATGTACCATGTACCACAGAATAATTGTTATCTAGTATTGGAGCGTTCAAGTATTACGTAACGTATTTTGGGAGGGGGGGTCCTTTTGTAAAACGTTACGATGCGGGGCGGGAATTAAATTACGCGTTATTGTTAATATTTTTTTCGAATTACACCACATAATAGTAACTAAAGAGTCACTAGGTGGTCACGAAATGTTTTACTATACTTGGGTACAGTGAAAACCTTTACGGCGAATTACATGGGGGGGGTTAATAATCTCCAAAAATTGCGTTACGTAATACTTGAACGCTCTCTAACCCACAACATAGGAATTTCCTAGTGTGGGGACTAGCGATATATGAATTTTGTCACAACCATTTTGTCTTAAATAGAGTGTTTATTATTATATTATTATACAATTGTTCCATGTGCCTCGTACGAACCCGAACTATATGCGTAATTAGCCAATGTTTCGGGTTTTATCTAACAACAGTACTTATTTTCCACCTTACCAAAGAGAGTGAGAGGAAATAATCTAAGAAGCGGGAAAACCTTGACTTTATTTAGAAATAGTGACAATTTAGTTTTTTCATTAAAATATATTGTTTTGTTTCATTTTAGTTTTCCTTTTTATCTATTAATGTACTTAATTGACTTATGTTTTCTGTTTCATATCTTTTGTTTGTTAATGTAGTATTTAAATATATATACGTATAATATAGAAATACAGTATTAAAATTGTATTCTATAAGTGGGCTCCAGAATTGCGTTACACTTATGCTAATTAATTACAGCTAATTATCAATCAGTGATGCCGGGAGTGTTGCCATTTTTTCACATATTTGGCTTCAACCTGCTTATGATGAGCTTGATGTGTGTGGGTGTTAAACTGGTAACAATAAGTCAGTTCAAGCCTGAAGTCTTTCTGGAGACCCTGGTCCGACATAGGACTCAACATATGTACGCTGTTCCACCTATGAGTAAGTTTTTTTAATGTCTATTACAAAGTCCGACATATATTGTATTACAGTATTTACTTATTTACTAAATATTTGTACATAGTTTTGGTTTTATATTATCGGGAACAATATGTATTAGTTTTTCAACAAACTCTCAAGCGAAATAAGAGAATCATCACTGAATAAATTCAAAACTCTCGTTAAATGTAAATTATTCAATAAAGCTTTTTATAAATATGACGACTATTTAAATGATCCTTGGGATTGATTTGCTTCAGTACAAACGTAATAGGAGGCAAACGGGCAGGAGGCTCACCTGATGTTAAGTGATACCGCCGCCCATGGACACTCACATTGCCAGAAGGCTCGCAAGTGCGTTGCCGGCCCTTCAAGAATTGATACGCTCTTTTCTTGAAGGACCCTAAGCCGAATTGGTTCGGAAATACTTTAGTTTCAAGTTTTCAAAAGTTTATTTTTGACATCATTTAATCACGTAATACTACGCAGCCATTTCTTCTTAATTTGAAATTATAATATCTATGGCTTTTAGCGTTGCTAGGCAACCGTTTTCTTATAGTAATTGTCAGTATTGATCGCGTACTTAATAAATTTATCAAAATCAATATTTGAAATTTTTGTGTGCCACACACGCTTCAATTCAATAATAATAAACTCGGTAAAGTAAGTGCTACACAAGATGGATGAATATAAAAAAAACCGCGCAGTCCGTCATGTCAAATGTCAAAATATACAGTTTAATTCATAACGTCATACCACGTCAGTATTGTAATCTATGAACTCATAAGGAGTTTCTAGAGATGAAAAAGTCCCTGGACTCTATGGAAGAGGAGTAGACCTTATAAAAGTTTATTTTTAACTTAACCCGATGTCAGAGTAATAGTTATTACCATTTAAAGATATTTTTAGTTTTATAAACAACAAAATCTCACTTTGTTAATCTTTGTTTTTAACTGATAATTGGATAATATTTGAATTTCGCATGTTTATGTTGGGTATATTCAATAAGTCACATAATGTTGACAGGTATTTGGAGTAGTATTTTTTTTACACTTGTTGTTTATACCTTAAACGTGTTTCAGTAATATTTCTGGCAAAACATCCGGCTGTGACGCCCGCCCATCTCCAGTCTCTCAAAAGTATCGTGTGCGGAGCGGCCTCTTTAGCCAAAAGCGACGTTGAAGCTCTGCTAAAGAAAAACGTAAGCCTCTTTTGCAAAAAGAAAACTCATCGAATTGTAAATATAAACTATTGAACACCCACAAGGTCCAGCCGTCTCGGAGGAGTTTAATTACAAAGACAGTTACAGAAGATTTATATATATTAGATAGGTGCCATTAGAAAATCTATTTTGACGTTAATCAAAGTTCTATAAAAATGAATGACGTTAGCCCTTAAAACTTCTAGAAAAGTCTGCTACTCCAGATCTACCTTCTAGATTGACTCAATCAAGCAATTTTTTTTTGTAATTCAAAATCATTTCCAAAGCACTTAAAACATACAAATCTTATCCAGTTTGAAGGTAGTTCTTAAAACATCTAGAAAAGTCTACTACTCTATATCTACCTTCTAAGGTTGACTTAGCAATTTTTTTTGTAATTCAAAATCATTTCCAAAGCACTTAAAACATACAAATCTTAGCCAGTTTGAAGGTAGTTCTTAAAACATCTAGAAAAGTCTACTACTCTATATCTACCTTCTAAGGTTGACTAAGCTAATTTTTTTGTAATTCAAAATCATTTCCAAATCACTTAAAACATACAAATCTTATCCAGTTTGAAGGTAGTTCTTAAAACATCTAGAAAAGTCTACTTCTCTATATCTACCTTCTAAGGTTGACTTAGCTATTTTTTTTGTAATTCAAAATCATTTCCAAAGCACTTAAAACATACAAATCTTATCCAGTTTGAAGGTAGTTCTTAAAACATCTAGAAAAGTCTACTACTCTATATCTACCTTCTAAGGTTGACTTAGCTAATTTTTTTGTAATTCAAAATCATTTCCAAAGCACTTAAAATATACAAATCATATCCCGTTTGAAGGTAGGCCTTAAAACTTCTAGAAAGGTCTGCTACTCCAGATCTACCTTCTAGATTGACTCAGCATTTTTTTTTGTAATTCAAAATCATTTCCAAAGCACTTAAAACATACAAATCTTATCCAGTTTGAAGGTAGTTCTTAAAACATCTAGAAAAGTCTACTACTCTATATCTACCTTCTAAGGTTGACTTAGCAAATTTTTTTGTAATTCAAAATCATTTCCAAAGCACTTAAAACATACAAATCTTATCCAGTTTGAAGGTTGTTCTTAAAACATCTAGAAAAGTCTACTACTCTATATCTACCTTCTAAGGTTGACTTAGCAATTTTTTTGTAATTCAAAATCATTTCCAAAGGACTTAAAACATACAAATCTTATCCAGTTTGAAGGTTGTTCTTAAAACTTCTAGAAAAGTCTGCTACTCCATATCTACCTTCTAAGGTTGACTTAGCTAATTTTTTGTAATTCAAAATCATTTCCAAAGGACTTAAAACATACAAATCTTATCCAGTTTGAAGGTAGTTCTTAAAACATCTAGAAAAGTCTACTACTCCATATCTACCTTCTAAGGTTGACTTAGCTAATTTTTTTGTAATTCAAAATCATTTCCAAAGCACTTAAAACATACAAATCATATAACGTTTGAAACTTTTAAACTTCTAGAAAAGACTGCTACTCCATATCTAATTCTTGCCAATGGACCACTTGTGTTCCTTGCAAGTCCCCCTCCAAGGAGTCTTCCCTGAGATATTTGGGTCGCCTTAAAGGTGTCAGGGGTACCCAGATTTACTTGCACTCCAATCCTTTCCCCTTTCTTGTTAGTCAGTCCAGTTGAGTCTTTAAAGTTACTGTAAATTGCAAAATTCCTCTAAGAAGTATTTGGAATTCGACATATTCCCTCCTCCCCATATACCGTATGTATTCGCTAAAATCAGGGAATTTCGTCAACAGAGGAACATCAAATTCCGTCAAGGCTACGGTCTGACTGAGACCAACGGTGGCTTAGTAATTGGACGCAATGATGACACGAATTATGCCTCTGTTGGACATCCAGTTGGGAGTTGCCAGATTAAAATTTCTGATCTCAAAACCCAGGAGGCGCTTGGGCCAGGACAGGTGAGAGCTAAACTATGTTCTGTGTATATATCTGTAACAAATGCTATCTTCTAAATAAAAAAAAAAATTGAAAGGAGGCCGCTACTAGTGTTACTTATCGTATTAATCACGCTAAATTGTATAAAATTAATCCAACCATAGATTATCTTGAACAGGAAATAAGTAACATAAATTTCGTGTAACAATTTTAAAAAACAGAAGCTTATACATATTTTACAATAATATAACTGTTTACACCTGGCAACCCCATCGTTGCGGCTGACTGAGAGCGAGCAACAATTTTTTTTCAATTCAATCAAAATCATTTCCTTTGAAATGACGTCAATTTTATTAAAAAAATATATTGAATATTAAATTTTATTAATTACAAGTAATTGCGGATATTTTTTTAAAATGCATTGCATAATCTCTCAACATTCATTTATAATTAATCTCCGGTAAATGTTCCGGAGCTTTCATTATAAATATTATCTCCAGGAAGGTGAGATTTTGGTCCGTGGCCCGGTGCTCATGAGCGGATACTATGAGAACGAAGAAGCTAATAAGGAAGTGTTTACATCAGATGGCTGGTTAAAAACCGGTGATATCGGCAAATACGACGAGAATAAATATTTGTATATCACTGACCGGCTAAAAGAACTTATTAAGGTAAGATTAATTTAAATATCGAAATTTTTTTTTCTTTATCTATAATTTTTGTTACGATATGAAGTTTTGTTTCTATAATTCACATAAATCAATCGAGAGCTCGTTTTATAATATCTAATTCTGAATTGAATGTAAATCGGAAATCAAGTCGAATTGGGGTTATTTCTGAATTTACGATTGGGTTCTTTATTCGATTGAAAAGTTCTATTCTGTCCAACCTGTATATTATTAGATCATCTAGTTTTTTATAAGTTGCTTTTTATTTTTTATTAGTTTATTTCGACCGCTGTACTATTTGGAGCTTTTAGTACTTAGTACTCGTAGTTTTATTAAATGAAACGTTATATACGTATATTATGTATATGCTTTTATATATTAAACTAAGATATTTTTATACTGAATTATCTTTTAATGGTAATTTGATTTGAATAATTATTTTTCAAGGTGTTTTTTTTTTCTGCCGCCCGTTGCCTAGTAAATGTAACCTGTATTTATATGTATGTATAAATATATCAAAGAAATTAAATTGAATGAATGGTGTATGGTGGAGAATAAAAAAAAAAGTTTTTTAAACTTCTTTAAAATTTTAATTTTTTTTTTCATTTTTCATCATTCATTAAGTTTCATTAAGGTAATATTCTCTTCTTTAAATCCCTTGCTCTGCTAATTTAAGTAATAATTAAGTCTTAATTAAACATTTAAATACAAAAAAAATATTTCAGGTGAAAGGATTCCAAGTACCGCCAGCAGAGTTGGAGATCATTCTTCGAACTCACCCTAAAGTCCTGGACTGCGCTATCGTAGGTATTAAGGACCCGATAAGCGGTGAGGCGCCTAAGGCCTTCGTAGTGCCACAAGCCAAACAGACCATTGACCCGAAGGAATTATTAGAATACGTGAACACACAAGTAGTGGCGTTTAAAAAAATTAAAGAGGTTCAATTTGTGACTGAGATACCTAAAAACCCCGCTGGTAAGGTTTTAAGACGCATTATCAAGGAAAAGTATTGTTAATAAAAGTATTCCACAAAGTGTATTATGGAGAGTGTTCTGAAGGGTTTGGGTTGATCCCTCCTCTTCATCACCTCTTCATCACCATATGAGCCGTATTTTATTTATTAACACGTATCGCTCTTCGATCTCTTCCAGGCAACTCTAGTAAGGAAACATAAATACCAAGGGTATTTTGCATGACTAATAAAAAAAATACAGATAAAATTTAGGCTTATTATACACAAAAAAAACCTATTCTTAAGAATCACAATGCAACGAATAATAAAATAATATATTTACAATTTAAAAAAATATAATCACTATTAAACAGGAAAGGATATGGTTAAGAGGTGTTTAAATATAGTTTAATAATATAGAAGACTTATTATAAATTATAGTACGTTATAATACATGTTCAATTGTTATTCACATTTTTTAAAAGTTTTTCGATTAATAAATCATGTAAAAAAACTGTTAAATATAATACAACTAGCAAACTCGGCGAACTCCGTTTCGTCTCCAGATGGCTTCGTTTTATGTAACATTTCGTTTGGTGATCCCGCTTTTCTGTTGAAATTTTTCCTGAATTTTCTTCACTATAAACCTCACGGAGCCCGAGACCTTTTCAACGAATGTAAAACCGTGGAAATCGGTTCGTGCGTTCTGGAGTTATAGCGTCAGGAAGGAAAACCCGACTTATTTTTATATAGTAGATAATAATACACTGTATAGGTGATATAATTTTGATATCTGTTTTGTGTGTGACTGGTGAGTTAATACAAGTTTTTATTAATTTATAAGCTTTCGCTTCACAAAGCGTCTGAGCCACACAAAAAGTGATAATTAGATAATGATTGTATTTCCTCGCTGAATTGCGATACTTATTCGTTGAGCGAGGAAAGCAACAGCTCTGGTGTCACCGGTACTACAAGGCGCCTAATTAAATCTTTAAATATCGCTTAAACCCCACGCCCCAAGAGGGAACGAAATAAAAGTTGGAGGAAAGACTCTTATATATGTGCCGTTTATTATTAAAAAAAGTTTCTGTTGGCTTATTATTGTTTTTGTTATTGAAAATCGTATTTATAAATCCCAAAATCGGAGTTTTTAAAGTTTCAATTTATTTATCTGTGGAGTAAATTTTTAGATTATGATAGATAATATTATGTCAAAGACAAAATTGTAACAAGAATTCTAAAACTTTTAAAATAATGCCTAGTCTAAGATAAACTAAGTATTGGTGCTTTAATTAAGAATTTGTATGTTTTTATTTATGTTAAGGAAAATATATTCTTGACTATTCATTTATTTTTCTCTTACGTCCTTATTTTCAGGAAATATATACAATTTACACGAAGAAATCTTAATTTTTATGACATATAGAGCACGATTAATACTAGTAAATTAAATATAGATATGATGGACTCAGCTCAGTCGAGTGTATGCCTATGCCTCTGTGAAAAAAAATGCATATGACTTGAACATTTACCCTCAAAAAGGGGGTATATTAGTTCGGCTGATCTATATAGTTGTATTTTTGTTGCCAGATAGAGATTTTAGCACTAGCCAATCAGAACCCGTCTAATCAATGGAATGCGCTGAATGGCCAATGTCCTTTTCTTTCGATATGATCACCAAGCCTGATACATCGTCGACTTTTTGGTCTTAAGCCGGTTTCGTCACAATGTTTACCTTCACGAGTGATATTTAAATGCCCTTAGAAAGAAACTCCATTGGTGCACAGGCGGGGTCAAACCTACGACCTAAGGGATGAGAGACTCAAAATGTACTTTGATTGTGTTGATCATGAGACTCTGCTTTGCAAACTTGACCACTATGGTATACAAAATGTAGCTCTTAGTAACCTCTTACCTAAGTTGTCGACCTAAAGTTGATATAAATGTAATTAAATCTTCGGGATCACATATTAAAATGGGAGTCCCGCAAGGATCAATTTTGGGACGATTTTTATTTCTTATATATATTAACAATTTGCCTTCTTATGCAAAGCCATTATGTGATACTGTATTGTTTGCTGATGACACGTCCTTGATTTTTAAAGTAAATATATATAAGACAAATTTTGACGTTGTGAACACACTTTCTAAAATATTGTCCTAGTTTTCTGCAAATAATTTACAATTAAATGCCAAATAAACAAAATGCATAAGATTTACTTTACCTAATGGTAAAACTACAACTATAGAGCTTAAACAGAACAATGAAAAATTTAATTTAGTTGATTCTACGGTATTTCTGGGCATTACAATAGACCAAAAACTTAAATGGAGTCACCATATCACTTAACTTTCTGACAAGCTTAGTTCTGCGGCATACGCTATTCGAAAAATTAGGCAACTTACAGACAAGGAAACTGCCAGAATAGTATATTTTAGTTACTTTTACTTATGTCGTATGGGGCAAAGCAGCAGATACAATCTATTTTTATCTTGCAAAAACGTGCTATTAGGTCAATTTATTGCTTGAAACCAGGCACTTCACTTAGAAATTTGTTGAAGGAAATCGATATTTTGACGGTACCATTCCAATATATCTACAACTGTATCGTTTTATTGCGTAGTAATATTAGTTCTCTTTTAAAGAACAGTGACATTTACAGAATACAAGAAATAAGGGATAACTTTTCCAGCCATCTTACAGGTTGCAGAAAATAAATACTTTTATGGGCCTAAGTATACGCTGCTATAATTGCCTTTAAACAGATTCAAAACACATTAAAAAACATTAATGTGTAAAGGTTACTACATAATTAATGACTACCTAGAAGTCAAAAACGCTTTGCAATAGTTCTAATTATATTGTTATAATTTGTTTTGTTATCTTTGAAGTGTTGTGAATATTATGTGTGTAATGGTGAATGTGGTAAATCACAGAACAGATTTTTTTTACTTATGTAACTTTAATGACGTGGTTTATGACATTTTCCTTTGAATAATAGTAATGTAGAGGGAGGGTAAAACTTACTGAGTGTCTTGCCCGATCTCCTCAGAACAAGGCCTCGTGTTAATTTTGCGAACGGATGGCGTCTTGCTCTTTTGCGAATTTTGTAAACGTTTTTGACATTCATAAGCGTGCCCTAAGACGCATCTAAATTGAATAAACGTATTTTGATTTGATTTAAGAAATAAACCGTTAGTAAGTAATCAAAGATCACTTGTTAGGTGACGTCTGACAACATTAATCCTGACAATAGACTAACTTCTAGGTTTTTGTTTTTGTTCACATTAATAACTTTCGTATTTAGCAGAAAATTAAATATAATAATCTACAATGAAATCATACTAACACCAATGCGTGGATTGAGTATTATATCTTTATATTTTTTTTTAAATTATAAACTGGCTATTTATTGTCCATAGTTCAAAATTTTAACTATATATATCAATGTAAACAAACAAAAAAAATATAAATTACAATCAAGAGATAATTGTTTCTGCATGCTTACCGTTATTACTCAGTAGGACTCAGATGGGTGGAGGTGCGTCGTTACTAGACTCGTGTACAAATTTTTCGTAAACCACTTCACAAAAGAGAAAGACAAGTCTTTTAAAAAATTGTCTCTAATTTTATTTTAAAGATATAAAAAAAAACTTAGTGCCTTATGGCTTCAATATTAAGACGTGCTTTAAGCGGAGCAATAAAAAAAAGAAATGTGTATAAAGCTTCTTTTTTACAAAACAGCACAGATTCAAAAATATTAACGTCAGTTTTTAAGGATTTAGAAGATTCAAATCATACAATTAATGAATTTGTGTGGCAAAACTTGGACAGATGGCCAGACAAAACTTTTACAGTAAGTATTTTACATTATTTATTATTATTAAGAATAATTAAAAAAAAATCTAATTAGAGTTTTTATTTAATTTTTTGCATTTTCTGGGAAGATTAGTAAATCTTTACCATAAATATTTACCATCGGAAAGTAGAGATTTAAAGCTGATATTTTGAGGGGTGAATTTTCGATTGAAAATTAGGGTGCTTTTTCGATATTAAATCAAAATAAAGTGAAAAAATAAATATTTCAAATCAAAGAAATTACAGTTTAATTAGGACGTAAAAGGTATGTTTTAACCAAATTTCGTGGAAAAAAATAAATTTTGTAAAAGATTTAAACAAAAAATCAATGGCTTGTTTTTTTTAAATTTTTCATATTAATTTTGAGGTTATGTCAAAAAAAGTGTAAATAAAATATTTTTAGTTCTATTTTTATCTACAACTTTGCCATTTCACTTTTTTCCATAGGACTTTTAGTTTTGCCGGAAATCGAGATAAACCGTTTTTACCCTTAAAAACTCACCCCCATCCCCCCGACCTCAGATCGCCCGTAAATTATTTTTCCTTTCATTTTTATAATATTCTCCTCCTTTTCCAATGGTTTTCATCCTACTATTATTTTTTTTGGTTTCAAAAATTATCGACCCTTGTCTAATAGCATATTTTCTAGTCCGTGTGTAGTATCTGACAATTTAATTTGCTGTGAAGTAGTAATGTAAATTCTTCTTAGAAACCAATTTTTTTTGTAGTATTAAGTCGCTCGCTTTTTTAGATTGAAAATATTCCATTTTCCTGTTGCTTTTGTTCATCGGTTACTTGCTAAAAACCATATTTTTATGTTCATTTATAATTAGGAGGATATATATAATATATATCTACCAAGTTGCCAATCAAAATTTGGCCGCTAGTATTTTTAATTGATTTTTGAGAAAAAATTTCGTTCACTTGTTTTTAAAAATAAAATATCGTCTACATCACAGCAGTTTATATAAAGATTTTAAAAAATCGCGGTTGCCGTTTCGCACAGGTAAACAGGTATGATTTCGATACATTTATACCTTTTTTTAACGTACATTTATTCATTATACATCAAATGGAAACTATTTTTTTTTTTCTATTAATTATCATATATAGTTACCTAATTAAAATTGGCCGCAAAACAGGGTTACTGACTGTTAAAGATGTTAAATATTTAAGGTAGAGTGAAAGAGACCTAACGCGTAACA